TGGGAGTTTCATTCTCTCTTTTCTTGTGTAGCGGCGTTTTCCTATTTTTCGTTTCTTTTTTTTAGCTATGGTCCGCATCTCTGATGTGTGTTCCACCAGTGCAGGAAATGGCTTGAATGCAGATTACTTCGGCTGCAGATCAAATAAATATATGTCTTTGCCAACTGCCAATTTCAGGCAAAATAAAGAAGAGGAAAAGTTCATTTTCAACCGACTAGATAAGAAAACCCATCTAGGGCAGTAAAGCATGCTTTTTGAGTCACAGATAGACAAACATGTTTGTGTACTCATTCTGTCTTATGTTAGCATTCATAAAATATGTGCTACATTAGGCAGATTTATTTTCTCCCCAACCCCCCTCTAACTTCTTCTTCTGCAGTGCTGTAGCAGGAGCCTATCAGTGACTCCATTCATACCAGGTCTATTTGGGCAGTGTGCTCGATATGGACGTTTCATTACACACTTCCTTCCTGACCGTCTGTCTGTCTCTCTGTCTGACTCAGGGGAGAAGACTGAGCGAGAAGTAGAGAAAAAGGAACTAGACGGGAGAGAGAGGAGAGGAAAGGTGGGATTTATTTGAGGATGTTACAGTAGGAGAGAAGGCGAAAAAAATGTAATGGAGCCGAGAAACAAGGGGATAATAGGAGGAAGGGTTAGAATGAGGGAGATAGAAGAGATTTTTAGTACATGACCACGGAGGATGTATCAGAAAGAGTGAGAAATAATGCAAAGGGTTGAATGACAGAGAATGAATGATTTAGAGAAATATAATGGAGCTATAAGGTCGGACGGTCAAGGAAAAAGAGAGAGAAAAGAGGAGGAGAAACAATAAAACAGAGAAGAAAATAACTGCACAGGAAGAATAGCACAATATGGATGAAAGGAGAAAGGTGGGGACAGGAAGGAAGGAAAGGAAGGAAATGGGGACACGGGAGGATTAAAGAACAAGGGAGGGTGTGAAGGTTAAAGAATCAGCAAAGAAAGAAAGAGAGGAAGAGAAGTCAAGAGAAAAGAGGGGAGACTGAAAGTTTAAAAAAAATCCTTTTTACATGAAGCAAACCATAACTTATGAAACACTGTACCATTAAGTAAGGCTAGTATATGTTTTTATAATTATAAGTACTAACTAACTGACAGAATTACATTCCTTGCCTTTTAAAAAATTCCAGTTGGCTTATTATAATTACCTGCCTCAGATAACCTTTATTAAAAAAATGTTAAACTAAAGGTTGCCGCTTGATTGAAACCAATAATTAATATTAACAGATTAAAAGAAAATTCCTACAATTTGGAACCTGAAAGACTAATATTTCAATAAACTGATTAAATTGAAGAAAATATACATTTGGATTGTAATCAGGTGAAACACACAAAGATGGTGGTCACACACTCTGCAATGCACCAAAACAAGCGATTTTCCAGACCAAACTTAATTTAAAACAACCCAACTGAATTTGTTCTGCCTTACTGCATTGTCATTTGTTCTATTCCCTCTTTGGTTAACAGTCTGCTTCTCTGTTTAGTGTCCGACTGTTTGAGCTTTAACAATCGTGGTCACTAACAGCCAAGGGAATTAGAAGAGTATAAAGAATGAAATTCATCCTTAATTCTGTCCTCAGGTTTAGTATTTCCCAGCAATTAGGTCATGCAGTTCTACACCATCATTAATCTCTTAATTGGACTCAAACCAAAACAACATTATGACTCACAAACAGCATCTCCTCTGCTGTCAAGTCGTGCTTGTGTGCGCGCGTGTGTGTGCGAGAGGAAAGCATTAGATTGCAACAAGGCCAGAGACAAAGAAGGAGAAGAGAGTGAGAAAGAGATTCAGCCTCAACTTTTCCCCTTGGGATTGGTCGCCATGACTACGAAAGCATTTTCAGCTGAACGTGGGACAAACAGGAGGACGAGAGAGAGGGAGATACAGAGAGAGAGAGAGAGAACATGGCAAAACTGAAATACTTAAGCACGTGTGTCAAATCAGATCTTAAGACGGAATTAAAGATAAAATAGCACTTTAAAAAAAAAAGATTTAATTAGATGAAACACCATCTAAACTAAAAAAATATCAAGATGCAATAAAAAACACATCTCTATATATAGCTCAGCAGCAAGGTAACCACAAGACACTCGATCTCCAACAGAAAAAACATGCAACGGGGCAGGCAAAAAAGCTGTGACCCAATACGCACACTATGAACTCCAATGGAAAACAGAGACCAGGGAGAACAAACAGCATCAAGAGACTATAACATCTCATCTTACTACCACAGACAATCAGACTGCATCTATATTTCAGAAGCTACGGAAAACTGCATGCGACAATAGGCCGTCATGATCCAAGATTAGTGGAGGGCACATTTAATGAGGAGGAGAGGCACAAAGGGGATCGGATTTCAACACTGGCAGGCAAACTACAGTATCCCCTGAGGGTAATTTGTCCGAAATCGGTGACAAAACTTTAAGAGTAATTTAGCTTTCAAACTAAACTGCGTTTTCTTCAATGCCCCATCATTTTACCAAGAGAATAAAAGGGGAATTGAACCTTAAGTACGACACATGGACGTCTTCTGAATGGATAGAAAAGCTTTTAAATAACAACTGATTTGGGGACCATGACTTTGAGATACTTGCTTGCATCACCTGTTATTGTTGAAATGGAGAAAAATCTCAATAGAGAGAGACAACTGTCTCAATTTTCTTCTGCAATAGGTTTGTCAATATTTGCATAAAAATGCAGCCAATATCACGGGAGATGAATTATTTATTGGGACTTGTAAGGGCTAGTTCTGCTTGACAGAGTAGCCATGAACCTACAAAATGTGTGTGTGTGTGTGGGGGGGGGGGGGGTGAATGAGTGTCAGTGAGAAAGTGTGTGAAAGAGAGAGAGAGAGAGAGCGAGAGAGTGATGTGCTCTGCTGCGCTCATCGGCAATGTCACTGCTTTCTCAAGGACACTGCGGCTAAGGGGCAAGAAAGAGAGAAAAGAAAGAGGGAAGGAAAGACACACATGAGGAAAGAAATTGAATGAGGTAGAAATAAAAAAAGACACAGAGTGATAGAAGGGAAAGTTAGAAAGAGAAAGAAGGAGAGACAGCAGAAATAAAGTGAGAGTGGTGGAGGCAGCGGTGGATGAGTAAAGTGTGAAAAAAAAGAGAGGGAGATGGGAAAAAAGGGAAGGCTGTGCATTTGTGTGAAAAAGTACTTAATGTTGGAAAAACACAAGAAGACACACAGGTTGCAGCATTTCTTCTTTTTGGCGAAAGACCTAAATCATTTGGCTTCAGTATGGAGTGATATAGAACAAATAAATCTAGCAAATCTTGCTAATGCTTGATAAATAACATTATTGATTAATATAATATCAAAGTTACAGTCGATCCATGTCGCTATGGATTTTTCTGAGAGTCTATGACTCATAGATAAATCCTGTCTGAATCCCTTTTAAGAACTAAACATACTCTGACCCAACGTAAACAGGCTGTCCTCAGGAGAGTAAGTGAGCAGCATCAGACATACCGTAGTGTAAACTACACACATTGAAGCTTTCCCAGCCTGGGTTCAGTCTCACCAGCAATCCACTAAAACCTCTACAGCAATCAATTATTTACACATAAACACACACACAGACCCCAAAAACTCCCCACTGAGAAGATAGTGGAGAAGGCCGCTGGGTGAATTGCATTAAGGCTACTTTACATACATAAGTAGGCCGTTTATAGCACAGCGGTGAGGGAACTTAGCAACCGCTCGGACCACAAACTTTGACCAACAGTGATCAAAATATGAGTGTTTGCTTAAAGCATCATCCGTGTGCATTCAAACTGAAGTCAAGACCACAAGATGCCAGCTGGTTTTTTGTTTATGCAGATAGAATACACATTAGAGGGTGACAGGAATAGCTAGAATGACGACTGATATCAGTGAAATCTATACAGGTGTTTGGATCATTTTTTTCCCCTTCCTTTTACTGATTCTGATACCTAGACATGAGTCTGAGCAGATACTGCACAATACCCACTCACAATACCAATGAAGCAGCTGTTAACTAGTATCCTGCATGGATGTTAGATTTCTGCTCTCAGGTGTATGGCCTAAATCCTAACACCAAAAATAAACGGAGTAACAAGCTAAGCTAATGACAGCGGTTGCTCTGCTCCTAGCCCCCCCTTTGTATTTTTGTGTATTCACCTAAAAGTGATTGTAAAAAAACCCACATTTTAACATACAACTTCTTTTTTTGTGTTTTACTGGTCTTAGCTGTCTTAACCTTCAGTAAATAAACTTAGCTTTAAAGCAAACAATTGAAAAACCTTGGAAGCTAACATTTTGCGAGCTCTGTCTAGGGTTTCATCTTCCAATCTACTGTATGCTATTCTCACAACATGTATAACCTGAAATCAGTTATATATTTGCAACTGTAAAAAATAACTGCTGGTGGCCTTCATACATTATGCTATTCGTGTGTTTTTTTTTGAGGGGTTAAAAAACACATGTATTTTTTGATGGTGAACTGGAAGTTAACCAATATAGCATTTAAGGCATTATTAGAGACATTTTCAATACAGATGGACAAACTCAACTATCTTGCATTCCTTCTCAGGAGACATTTATTTGTAAGACTTTGCTTCAATCTGTCTCTCTAAACAATAGCCAAATGCAGTGTGACGGTCAACAGACTTCCTAACACCAGTGTTTTCTCTTGGTCACACTAATTGAACTGGACACCAACTGGACTCATTGCATGAACTTCAGGTTGATAACAGAAGACACAACTTCAACAAACACACATACAAGCACACACAGTCACACTCAGTCGGCTGCTCAGCAGGGGTGTGAATCAACCTCTCTGCCACAGGGCTTGTCTTGTTTTCTGGCTGATTGAGCGTCTGTGTAAACAATGAGCCACCGATCCTGCAGCCACACTGAGCTCAATACTGAGCTCAACACAGATATATAGAGAGAGAGAAATAATGGATTCAGTTTTTTTCTTTCACTCACCTCCCTCTTTCCTCCTATATATATGTATCTGCCCTCTTCTTCTTCAGCCTCTATCAGCTGCTGTGCGTGTGTGTGATTGTGTGGTCACGGCGTCAGAGCAGGCAGGGTTCAGCACCTGAGGAGACAAAAGTTCAAGGGTAAGCTGACATCAGTACAACAGCACATAAGGATCATGTTCAGCTTGACTTAAGTCACACACGGACCAGCTGACATCAGACTGGCAGTAAAAAACATGAGGTGCAAAATAAAGATACGATTGTGTACTTGAAAGTCTGGCAAGCATCTGTTTTTTTTTCCATTGTGGAATTTCATAACAAAAACAACAAGTTCACAAGTGCACAAACATGCATACCAATGCTTTTATATTAAAACGTCCATTAGGGCACTTTGCCAAGTGCATCTTTTATCTCTGTGATATAAGAGTAATTATCGGCGTAGGACAGAGCCACTTATGCCCACAGTATACCCTCATCGTTACAAGTATATTACATTCTCCTCTCCTCTTTGCAAACATCTCCAGAGAGGGCAGTGAAGGGATGGTGACTACAGAGAAATAGGACAAAAGATGAAAATGGTGGGAAAGAAAGTCTGAGTAAAAAAGGATGAAGAAAACCAACAATCAAAGACCAGAAAATTGCTACCCTGCTGAAGAAGTGGGCCTTCCTTTTTAATTTGCACATGTTGGGCTACATCGATTTATACTTGCATGAATCACAGCATTAGTATCCATGCAAACAGCAAACAGGGAGAGAGGCATACGACAACTGGTTTGCAGATTTTCAGAGAACGTTTTGGTTAATACCTCTAAGAAATGTTTGACTGAGTAAAGCTGCATCCAATAGACTGATTGATCCTTAAACTCCCATCATGACGCAGGAAAAAGGTAAGTTGTTTAAAACCATTGGGAGGAGTTATTTTTCACTAAGTACAAAACAGAAAATAATACCAATGCCTCTATATGACCTTTAAAAACAAACAAAGGCCATCAGCAATAAGTATGATAATTTCTTTGCAGTTATTTTTCATGCCTGAAGCCGCTGATGAGGGGTAGATGTCAGATGAAGTGATTAACTGAATGCTACAGAGATAGCCTTTGCTCACACTTCCCATGCCAGCAGAAAGCAGAATTGGTTTATTTGTTTAAAAAAAAGCCTAATTAAAAATGTTCAGGACAAAATCAGCAAAGAGATAAAGGGTAGAATTAAGACGTTGATGCTACAAGGACTGTAATAACTACATATACACACTGTTCTGAATGCATAAAAATACATTTTTAATGTTTTTGCTGAATCTAGTTTTTTTCATTGACCATCTTCCCAAAATAAGATTTAAAAAATATTGCAATAACGTGTTCCCTACATGATCATAATCCATTGAAGAGTTACCTCAGTATCACAGGTATTTCATCGCCAGATGCTTGCCCATACACAGCCATTGTGATAGTGCATAAAATACAACGCTCTCAGATAATATATGATTAAATGTCCCTCCCATTGTAGCAGTCTGACAGAGATGATCCTGAAAAACTGGAAACAACAGACAGATGCTGATTCACCCTCCTACAATTATGAGCCATTGTCACACAGCCAAGCAAATCAAAGCAGAACAACCTGAAGTATTTGCTTTGTGTTGTTTGGAGAAGTCACACCTTGTATAATACAGCATAACCGAGGTGGGTGTTGGCACATGTAATGGATTTAATGCCATAGTCCTGCAAGATAAACTAGTTCCCAACCCTGTGTCTGACACGCACACACATGCAAGCACACACACCTGACTTGAATTACAATGCTTATGATGGTACACAATGCAAAAACAAACACACACTGAATTTCTCTAAAACCTAAAAAATAATTTTTGTTTTAACTCTTTGCAAACTTTGTTTTTGTCTGAGTTATGTTTTGACTGTCACTGACACATTCCATTTCATGTCCTTTTGTGTCATTGTGTATGCTTTCTTTTGTAACACCTTGTTAAGTTGGACAGCTACCAAACAAGACGTGACAGGATGCGAGTGAGCGTGAAGAAATTGAACTTGGTGAGAGTGTTGATGTTCGTCTCAGTTTTGGTGAAAAACAGCAGGCAGTATTTGAAAGCTTAAACGTCAAACAAGGATGAATTATTCAGCATTTTGTGTCCTGAGAGAGCCATACAGAGAGCTAAAACCAGTGCTGTGTAAAAAAAAAAAAAAAAAAAGGGATCCTTAAAAAGCTATGCAGCAAGTGATAGAGTCACACAAACAATACAATAGTATAAGCAAATTAATAATAAATGAAAATCAAGTTATTAAGCTAGAGATGAACATTAACAATGGTATTCAATGCTAATTTCTTGTATCTAAATAAGACTGGTAAATGATTCCCACAGCTCTCACAGGTGCGCCAAAACAATTTAAAGTTCGAGTACATAACCATGATTTTTAGTCACAGTTTCCTACTTTCTTCCAGAGGCGTTAATGGAGACACACAGTCAGATAATTGCCTCTATAACTTACACATGTTCTCAATAGAGTGCTCATGAGGAAGGACAAATAAACCTTCCATCACCTTATTTAACACATCTCATTTGTAAACAATTACTGATAGTGAGAAATCAGAAGCTTGGCGTCAAACTGAGAAGCATCGGTGCACTGGAGCATAAACAAAGGCATCATTTCATCCTACAGTGGGTGGTATTGGAACGTGGATCAGCTTGTAAAACAAAACCTGGAAGATGTCATTCTGTCATTATTTTTAAACAGTGATACTGGTGATAAAACCCACATTTGTTAACATGTGAAAATTCACACCTACAAACTCACAAAAGCAATGTGCATACACAGATGTTTAACACACCCCATGACTCTCCCAACGGGAAGATGAAAAAATAGCAGACTATGATTAAAGCTAAAGCATTTAGTTACCGATTTCCACTTAACAAAACAACAACCATAAAACTGATAGATAATTAAAGCAAAACAGTTGAAAGGACTGGACCTTTTCTGATCTTAACTTCTTAAGAAAAATGTGTGTGTGTTGAAAAATGAAGCCAAGTGCAAAATCCTGCAGTTCGTCGAGTGTCCGCTTGAGGCTTGCTCCAGCAGCCCCGGAATTCATATACACACCACATCCAAAAAAAAAGCCAGTTTTTACAGCAGAAATTAACATGTTGACAGCCTGGTACAAAAAAACGAAACATGTCTAATTAGTTATTGTCATCATGTCACAGCACACACTGTACGGGGAGTGAATTTTTTAAATAAAAGGATCCTTTTTGGTTTTATTAAATATACTTGTTATCCATAGCTGGGCGCGTAGCTGACCTGATTGACAAATGGGCCTGGTGTAGTAGTTTGTCAGGAGTCTTTAAACCCGCCTCAGCTCCAGGTCTTAGTCTGCCGGTGAGCCTCCGGAGCCCCCTGCCCTAACAGATGGGTGACGTCATTTGCCCATTCATATTTACAGTCTATGATTTCAACCACAAACCATCTCCAGAAGTTGCTGTAACATCACTGAAACTATCATCTATACAACAAGTACACAACGCTTACTTGTACTCATTCTGTTATCCTCTTTCTGGCTGATTTAGCTTGTTAGGACTTTTTCTGGTCATTAAAATAACAAATGCAGCAAATGTTCGACTTCTCTTCTCTTGTGCTACACCTTTTTGTTGTTTCAGTAACATAATCACAAGTAAGGATGTTCTACTGATACCCCGGGTTGGTTGTCTAGTTGTTATCTGCTGTTATCTACAATAATACAATAATTTGAGACTTTTGATTTTACTGTGTAGTCGCTATCATTGCATTATGTTTGGTATAACATCGGGAAGCCAGGAGCTCAGGTGAAAGTGCTTATTTTAAAATCTCTTCATACAATCATAAAATTAATTAAAACACTTATTTGTTCAGTGAAAACAAAGTCATTGAGACTTTGTTTTCATCTTTGAGGTGATGTTGGATTGACATGTCATGGGAAACACATCAGCTGATCTCCCTGTGAAACACGAGTGTGCTTTCAGTAAAGCACAATGGACCATTTCACTCAATTTTAAATTGCTTGGCTATTGAATAATTAAAAAAAAAAAAAATTACAACTAAAAGCCTTTTTCATAGGTCAAACACTCTAATAGTAATTATGATATGAGAGAGTATCTCATACTCCATTCTCTGTTTAAAATATTACGTGTAATCCTAATCCAGATTATCTCCATTATGAATAATTTTCATTACAGCGATGCTCCTGCACACTAAGTCTACATTTTTTTTTATCCCACGGTGCACACAGTGAACACTTTGAAAAGTCTCTGATTTAAAACATTCAGTGTACAAACATAAATGCTGTGCACTGAATACTGAAGGAAGCACTTTCCATAAGGGTACAAAGCTCTTAACCCACAAATGCACACCTTTGCACTCCCAGAAAAAACATACAAGCAATGCACGCACGCACGCACGCACGCACGCAAAGTGAATGGAGAAAGCCTTGAAAGTGGTTCTTTGTTACTGTATTTCTTATGAGGCAGGTGGCCCATAGATCTCCCTGGTTTAGCTTTAGCTTGGAGATTCCAATCGGAAACAACCAGAGAGTGAAGGCTGGGGTCGGCTGCTGCTGAACTGGTGGTGGTTGCCAGGTGGAGACACTATGTATACATGGCAGAGAGAGATTGAGAGGTGACTTGAAGACAGAAACAGAGCACTTTGAAGTCCATTTTAGCAACCCTGACAGGAGTCGCAGCGAGAGGTATCAGGGAGTTTCCAGGTTCAGCCTGTTGTTCCCAATTTCTGCGGCCCAGGCAGCTTTGTTCTGCCACCTTCCACTCCTCAACGAAGGCAATTTAAGCTTACACAGATTTCAGTGTAGTTTACTGCCAACAGCATTTCTCTTTTCCCAGGAGCAAGTGTTCAGCGACACCAAATAGCCTTCTCTTGTAAAAGGAATGATTTAATGACTTGTTACACTGAAGCACAAATTTGATTTTTTTGAGAATGGGCTACTTATCTATTATACTACACTTAAAAATGAATAAGCCTAAAATGATTTACCTGTACTTGATCCTAGGAAAATACAGAATTTCTATGAATACAAAAAAAGAAAGAAAAATACTTCTTGTACACTGACAAGCATCTTAATGATG